TACTCATCATGACGCTCCTACATCTAGGAACAAGGTACATATTTTTTTAGATTTTTAGCTCTCTTCCTGTTGCCTCAGGACTTTTCTATGTCAGTAGTTTTCTTTACCTCCCGGTAAAGATTACATTTGGTGTAGTGTGTGTAGTTCCCAATTCAGAACCTTTGATACCACAAAGTCAAACTGTTTCATTTGTTTTCTGGCCTTCAATTGATTTGTACTGAGTCTGTTTGGTTCAGAAAAAAATTGATTAGACTTCTGTTTCTTCTGGACCATTGCAGATTATCATGAAAGAGAGCAATCAAACTGATGATTGAAAGTCATTTTGAAAAGGGAAGCCAACAACTCATGATTTGATTGAAGTCCTTTAAATCTTGAAAGGCTTCCTCATATAGTTGATAGGTTTGACTTTAGAACACGGAAGGACAAACTTGAAGCAATGCAACAAGATACATATGTGGAGAGGGATCTCCTCGTGTGATTCATCTTTCAAGTCTGAATAGTCAATAAACTAACTCAGCCAGATGTATGATGTGTTGCCTTTAATTGTTGCAAATTTGTGCTGTAATTTACTTCATCTTGTTCTTGAATCAGATATTTTGTGACTATTTCACTCATAATGCAAAACACCTGAATGATTGAAGGTTTAGAGATTGAAGAGCTTAAGAACTTAATTTGCCTTGAAACACCCCATTGTTTCTTTATTTAAATGAAAGGTACAAGGGAGCAGATAAGTTCAGAAGTGGTATTGTGTGGGCTCAAGTGAGCAAGGTTTGGACAAAGAAGGTACAGGGAATCATTTGAAATTGAAAGGAAAATGTGCTGCTTGCACTCATATGCTCATCATTACAAATTTTTGTGCTGTTCAAGGCTTGAGGGTGTCAGACAGGGGTATTTTTGAGGCTTTGAGCTTGAATATCAAGATGATGAACGTGAGCTACATGAAAGTTTCATAGAGAAGCAATGGATTCCATTTACAAGATAATAAATGACTACAATAGTACTGACTTCATATGCACAAACACTCAGTGAGTTTGTGGGTCGTGAAGTGGGAGCACAATGTTTTTTAAGGTTTTAAGCATGAATTTGAAGATGATGGAAGGGTTATGTGGAAAAAGTGGTACAATGAGACTGTGTCTAAAAGCCAGTTTAGCTTTCTAGAGGCCTTCGAAGACCATATTTCCTTCATCTTCAGGGTATTTGGGATGTTTTTACACACACAATGATGTTATGAGATGGCTTTTGAGAGTTTGAGCATAGATACAAATGTGATGGAGTGGCAATATGAAACGTTGCTATTGTGAGACCAGGTGTAAGATTCGAAAGGAACCTTCACTGGATACCTCGAACGGGACACTGTGCGAACACAGCAGCGGGTTTTCTAGAACCCAAGTGACCTGATTTATATTACTAATCCAATCGAGAACACGTCTGGTTCCGAAGGATAGAGGGTCGAATATCAGTCCCGATATCACTACTAATATAAACAGCTACAAAGAAAGAGAAAAAGAAAGATAGAAATGAAATAATGACTCTACCTGGTTCCGAAGGATAGAGGGTCGAATATCAGTCCCGATATCACTAAGGAACCATTGGCGAGATTCGAGCAAAACAAATATATATAGAAAATGAAATTGAATCCTAAGTGTTAATAATTAAGTCTTGTCGTTATGTGTTTGTGTAATGACCGTAAGGTCTTACACCAGGTCTGGAAGTAAACTTTGTCATCTTGGGGGGGTGCAATCACTATATTCCTTACATGTTCAGGATGCTTGCGGGGATTCTATGTGCTACTTTGTATTTCAGATCAAGAGTACCCAAGTTATGCAAAACTTGTGCACAACACTTTCTCAGATGAATTGGGCAAAAGAATCACCTTTATACATGGTTGGTATCTGTCATTGTACTTGGTTACAATAAGACATATTAATCTGTTTCAGAAACCCGCAGCGGCTTCTATTCAAGATATTTAACTGCTACTATTGTGAATCAGCAAATTGAAGCAAAGTATAAGTTTTACATTAAAATGCATCGCCTGAAGATATCAAACTTGTAATTGGACCCAACTGACTCAAATTTTAACTTTTATACTTATGGGGAAGTTGGAATTGAGGTTGACAACTATGATCAACACCTAAGTTGGGTGTTGATCATCAAGGAGATTGACTATGAGTATATTGTTATGATAATATTGGTTGAAATTATTTTGAAAGTTGAATGATACCATATACAAATTGTGTGCATCAACATGTCACGTTGAACTGCTTGTGGGCATGATGAGATATTTGTCCATTTATGTTTGAAATACAACATTGGAACAATGTTTTCTTTGGACTCAAAAATCCCTAATATGACACAGCTGACAAATGAGGTCCTTGTGATCAGTCAATTGACTCCATGTTGTATGATATTTAGAATTTAGGTCACTTTGCCAAAGACGTGGTACACTGTGGTATTTAGAGGTTTTAAGGAATTTTGCAATTGGATTGGTGCGGGCAAGCCCGCATAGTCTCTAGTGGGAGCAAAAATGAGTGAATAGAAAATTGGAAACAAGATCAAATGAGAGGAAAATGGGAAGTGCTTACCTGGTTTGACATCTTGCAATTTACATCAAGGTATGTTTGTTGAGACTATCTTGAATTCAGACCTGGCCTTGTTTGGATCTGCACAAGCTCCTGTGATTCATCAGGGAAAGTGAAAAAGTATGAGAAGCATGCAAAAGTAGGTGACAGAAAAGATTGACTTATCATGTTGACCTTTGTGTGATCCAAACATAAGTTCTAAGAGAACCTCATACTCCAAAATGGTCTTGCAAAGACCTACCTGATCTTTTTGAGAACAATTGAAAGGGTTTGAACAAAGTCAGAACCAATATATATTAGTGCCACACAATGGGACACACTAACCACCTTTGACTCCTTGTGAGGGTTAGGTACTCTTTTGCAGTGCTCAAGGCTCACTAAATAGGGTAAGAAAGAGTTTATGATTTCAAGCACTTATATTTATATTTCAAATATAATGTAATTAAAATTAAAATTATAAAGAAAGAAATAAGGAAGGAGGAAGGGACTGGTCTGTATGGATAAATTCAGACAGATTACAGTTAGATGACTCCTAGCAGGAGATAGCTGTAATTGTGTGATAATTACTGAAAACTGGATCCAAGGTTTTCCTTCAATCTTCAATTTGACAGATTGAAGAGTGAGATAAACATCACCACTGTTTGACCCACGCACTGATTACTTCCAACTTTTCACCTTTCTGAGGGGGTTCTGTGTTTCTCCAGGTTTCTCCCAGTGGATTTGACGAGCCAGTCAATCACTCCGGCTTCCGGTGAGCAAAACTCGAACCCATTGGCAAGTTGGGATCCATGGTGAAGTCGAGAATGGACTAACTCGCACATCTTACAGGATGTTAGTGAACGGGGGCAAGGACGGGCGTATATAGAACCCAGACACTCGAGTGCGTATTCTGTTGGGGATGGCTTTTGCGCAATTTGTTGTGAACGAAGTCTTGGCTATCAAGAGTACAGCGAGTTTACTTGTATTCTATATCACGACTCGCCGACAGCGACCCAGAGTTGTAGTATTGGATACAAGAGACTCGGAGATTGTGAAGCGGTGTCTCCGTAGGTGTATAATTGTAGACAAGAAAACGAAGCGCACATGGTCTATGAGACATGGAGGATAATAGTGCCAAGGATATTTTATGTTCTTGTCGAGGAGTGACATGCTGAAGATGGTGGAGTTGCTTGCTTTGGTGTTAAGGAAAGGAGACATGATCTCAACCAATAGGACAACGGCTCGTGGGGCGATCTGGCTTGCGCGACGAAAACTTTGGCGAGATTGAGCGAGATAGAGTTTGCTGGAGTTATGTGGAACATGTCCAGCTGGCGGTTTCTGAGACTGCCCATACGGGTATGTGGCCGAGCACCAGGGGGAGCGTCTACTTAGGTTTGGACTCGAACGAAGCTAGGTTTGTAGGTCTCACCGCTTAGGTTTCAAAAAACCAACCGGGGCGGTTGATCGCCGGGCGTACGCTGGGGGCTCGTAACCGTGGGCACCCTCTAATTCGACATCAAGATTCTTCAAGGCAATCTCATCACTCATCATGGCCACCATCTCCGTCCTTCCGGCAGAAGTATTAGCAGCCAACGCTGATGGAATCAAACTTTTTGGACGATGGGATTCCGCCGATGTGGAAGTCAAAGACATGTACGAACGCTCAAACCGCATCTCTGGAGTCCCCACCACCGATAATCACGCCTCCACTGACTTGGTGATGACAGCTCTTTGACTGACTATATTCAGATCCGAAATGCCGTCTTTGTCCCTCACACCGCTGGACGTTACGCCGTGAAGCAATTCCGAAAGGCCCAGATGCCCATTGTTGAGCGTTTGGTCAACAGTCTCATGATGAAGGTAATCTACCACCCTGCAGCGATTATCATGCCTCATACATTTTCCCCTAACGGACTCGTTTTTCCAAATCCAATCATAGGGTCGAAACAACGGAAAGAAGCAAATGGCAGTCCGCATTGTTGCCCATGCATTCGAAATCATCCATCTCCTGACCGACCAGAACCCAATTCAAATCTTGGTCGATGCTATCGTCAACACTGGTCCCCGTGAAGATTCCACACGAATTGGATCCCAGGGAACTGTTCGACGACAGGCCGTTGATGTCTCACCTCTCCGTCGAGTCAACCAGGCTGTCTCTCTCCTCACCATTGGGGTTTGCCACATCATTTGTACACCATGTTCTCGTCAAACTCCAGTAGCTGATCTTGCATTCATTCGAAATTCCGTGCCCCGTAGGTTCGCGAGTCTTCATTCCGAAATGTCAAGTCGATCTCTGAATGCCTGGCCGATGAATTGATCAACGCCGCCAAAGGATCATCCAACTCGTACGCCATCAAGAAGAAAGATGGTACGCGGCTCTTCTCCTTTGTCTGGACGTTACAGTGGCTGACTCACCTCTCGTCACAGAATTGGAACGTGTTGCTAAGTCTAACCGATAGATATTTGCAATTCAAGCTCCTCTCCTCTTAATTATATCCACGGCCTAGATGTTATGCACTCGAGCCTAGTGCCAAGCGAAGTCTTCACGCGAAACATCGTATCCTTCTCCCTGTTATCCAAGAACACACTGCACACATGACCCTATGCTTTACCTCCCAAAAGTCACAGTTGAAACACCAGTTTCAGCCTGACATTATCGCACTAAGTCACTTCAAGGAGCCTGAGTAGCCATGTTTTACATCGAGCTACGTGTCTGCTTGAATTTTGTCCATGCAACTTTGACCTTCATGCATCACATCCTGATCTGTGTATCTCTTGTCTCCGTGCCTTTTGTCTCGAATGAAGCTCAAGGTGGGCAGGTAAGATGTCAAACCAGTTGTAATTATGCCGCTGAGTGATAAATCTTCCAAATGATGTACATTTTTACCAGAGGCCCCTCCCCCCGTTTGGGCCTTATGTTGCTGAACTACACAGATGCCTACCCACCCGACACATCTTCACAAGACCCATGGTTTCAGACGGGTGTTCAGCGCAACGTTTGACAGTGTCGTCCTTCCTGACTTCTATGACTGTGCTGTTGAAGGCTCAACAAAGTCTGCAAACTCGATGGTCAAAATGGACTTTATGCCCTTGAATGACAGCCAAATGCAAGGTTTATCAGGTGAAAACCCTTTCCAGTTTGCTTGCCTTTTCTTTTTCAAACGGTGCAACAGAAAATAATGGTATGGTTATAGCCTAACTCTTCACTGAACAAAATGTGAGGAGTTGAAGGCACCAGCATAAGCGGCAGGCACACAACCTCACAAGACTTTTATAGACCCAGGGGCCAGAGGATGTCCATTTGCTAGTGCTATATTGATTGATAAATTTCTCCGGTGAGTTGCCTGGCTCACAGGCCAAAGTTTGAGGATACTGTATAAGTCCCTCTCTTGACTACTTGCTCAGCCAAGAGGAGCTTTAATGTCAGGTTAGCTTCTTGTATCAATATTCTTGCTGTTTGAGCTCCGCCTGTGCACATCAAACTCTTACCCACGTTTGCCAAATGAGGTTTAAAATACAAAATTATATGGCCCAGCATTTCTCCTATGTGGCCTAGGATATACACTGCAGGCTAACCAGCTTGGCTTGAGGTACACAAGGGCCCCTCTATCCCCCTATAAAGGGTGGTCATCTAGAAATATGACTTTTCAGCTTGTGTGGAATTACACTTCATTGAATTATACACTGCTCTCTCAGATTCTTCTGGTTTTTTGCCCTTGTTATTAAGCTTTTCAGAGTTGCTGGTTTGATACAGCTGATTGGAAAAGATTAAACCAGATAGAGAGCTATGGGTAAAGCCAGGGATGAGTTTTTGTAGGAGCTCAAAAGTCATATTTTTGCATGACCATTTACAGGGCACACTGGGGTCCTGATCTGTGCCAGGACCAAAGTCTAGCCTAGGAAAATTTGACAGGCAGGGCTGAGCTTGTCCAACATCAGCTTCCAAAGATAAAGCTGGCATGGTGGTTGTCTGACATGACTCTGGGTTCAAAACCCTTTTGTGCAGGACACCCAAAGCTAATGAATAAGAAACTGGCCTAGAAACTGTGAGTTCACCCTCAACTCTAAACTCCTTGACATGTCAAGGATATTCTTGAGGTGCACACATGAATGGCTTCTCACAATTATCTTTTTGTGATTGGCCACCATCCATACGGCCACCAACTATGGCCTAGCTACATGGCTGCCATTTGATCTGCCCAAATACTTCCTCAACAATCTAGCAACCATTGACAACACCGGCACAACAGGAGCTCTGCGCACGCTTCACACCACACCAAAAGCCCACTTACAACACAATATGAACCTCATTTGACCGGAGACCAGATTACAAGCTAAAATCATGAATTTCATAGCTGAATCATTGTCAAAACCCAGTTACCAACCTGTCTTCCCCATTATCCAACAGGCACAAAATTCAAACCAATGAGATCAGCAAAATATATTCTACCAGTTCCTCAAACACAAACTTGGCAAAAAAATTGATGAATTTATTTACTGTCAGTATAGCACTTGGGAATAAGGCATCCTCAAAAATGAATTAGACCATACCAGGCTTTCAGTGCCGTCTTTGTGCCACAATGCGCTCAGAATGATTTCCTTAAAGTTGCATAGACATCAGGGCTAGTCTTTAGTGACCAGGCAAGCTCACCAGCAGAGGCTCCAGCCCCACCATTGTCAACCCAAAGTTGGGTCCTGGCCTTGGCTGGTATACAGTCCCCTCCAAGTGTTGCATATAATCACTTAATTGCCTGAACGGTACCAGGGCAAAACTGCATTTCCCTTTGAATGATCATTTTGAATCTTTATGATCAATTGATCACAATTTTCCAATAGATTAAAACCCTTTGAGTATACACTCCTGATTGTTTTCTGATTGAACAAATTGTAACCAAGGGAAAAGAAGCCAAATTGGTTCATCTGTAGTTGGAAATGTATTTGGAAAGAAATGTAGTCTAATGTGGTACTGGGTTTTTGGTCCTGGTCAAACCCAAACCCAATAGGTGAACCACCCTGACACCTGTCTGCAGGATGTTTCAACCACACATTGAGATATTGGGTTGGCATTCCAGGTTGGGGCATCATTGAGATGTCTCAGAGATGGGACAACCTCACTTTATCTTTTACTAAGAGTGCTTATTGGCATAATTGAATACAACACCAACTAAATAATACAACTGAAAGGACTAGTTGCCCTTAGAAAGGTGGCCATCTAGTCAAAGCGTGGTGTGGAGTTGACTTTTGGATGCATATAGGTACTTCATCCCTTGGATGCCATGGCGGTGTTGGTAGTCCAAGGACATCTTGCAAGGCTTCGCAGTGTCCGAAGGGGACACCCGGTGGACGCCTTGCAGGAGACCGTGTCAGGATGTCTAATCAACCTCTGCAAAAAAAGAAGACCTCAAAAGTCAACAATCTCCCTTGCTCCGACTACATGGCCGATTCTCTAAGGTGAACTACTCTCCTCTCTTTATTAACTTGTTTAGTCAGTATTTTATGCAATAAATGCCCAACGCACTTAAAAAAAAAAGAAGACCTCAAGGTATAAATATTTAAGTGACTTCGTGGTGTCAAATCCTACCCTTTCCTAGGTGTTGGGACCTGTACTAGCTTATTCACGAAAGATACGACACCGGATTACCCCTCCGGCCCCGACTGGTTTACTACACTTACCTGTACTGACTGAATTGACTACGCTGTATATGTAGTAGCAAGATTTTCTCTCAAAGACAAAAAACAATCAAGAAGATCAATGATTGTTTTTGGTAAGGACTACAGATGCAATTGCACAGAGCAACTTTATGATAGATATGAGGATGATGGCAAAAGAAACCTTATAACAAACAAGGGACTTGAAAAATACAATAATACACATGAGACTTCAAAAAGGAAGTATTACAAAGATATCACCACCAAGTATGACCACCGTCTGCTTCCAGCACAGCCTGGATACAATGTGGCATAGATTCTACCAGTGAACGAAGCTTGTCTTCTCCAATAGCTTCCCACTCATGCTTCAAAGCCAAACACATTTCCTGCACTGATTTACCTTGATGATTTTTTGAGATCGAGTGCTTCATATCATGCCATATGTTCTCTATTGGATTGAGATCAGGGCTATTTGCGGGCCAATCAAGCTTTGGAACGCCATGAGTTCCTTGCTACTCTTTGGCGACTTTGCTCGTGTGAACCGGCTCACTATCTTCCATCAATACGTGGCTTTCAGAGCTGGTGTCAGAGGCAAGGAACGGCGCAAGGCTACCTTTGTACGCTTGGGCAACAAAGTCGGTGGCATTTTGTTTTCCCGGCTCCATAAAGACCAGATTCAGCTTCTTGGTGTTTGTGAACCCCCCCAGATCATTACAGATGAGCGACCACTCTTGAAAGTTGAAACGAGGTATCCTTTTTTGAATCGTTCTGTGGATTTGCGCCAGACTCGAATCTTCTCCGACTTTTTTCCAACCTCAAACAAAGACTCGTCTGTCCAGATGATGTCTTTCCAGTCATCGATTGTCAGATGTTGATGAGATAGTGCAAATTGAAGTTGCCTCTCAATGTGATCGTCCTTGAGGAATGGCTTAGGAGCTGGTACTCAAGAGTGGTAGCCAAGTTTTTTTAAAGCAGTCCAAGCTGCGGTGGGACTGATATCAAAGTCGAGTTTTGAGGTGATATGTCCAAGTGAAGCCCGTCGATGATTTTTGACTACATCCTTGAGATCACGAAGGTTTTGAGTTGAAAAATTTTTCGGCCTGCCTGGGGGCTTGGTAGGTATCAAAGTGTGAGTCCTTCTATACTTCTGAATGACCATAGCAATTGTTGATCGTGGGCGCCCTAAGCGTTGCACCGCCAACATAGATGCCTCGGATTGAAAAATCCGAGGCATCATCGGATGGAAACCCTCGGACAGGTCTTGTCCGAGGATTTGATCCGAGGTATTTTTTGACGCAAAATAATACCTCAGATCAAAACCTCGGAAAGATTTTGTCCGAGGATTTGAGTCCGATGATACCTCGGATTTTTCAATCTGAGGCATCTTTGTTGGCTGTGTTGAGCTATCTGTGTCCCTTTGAGACCACCCTTGTGGAGACCAATTATATGGCCACACTCATCAGCTCTGAGATTGCGAGTCCTCATGGGGAAGAAGCCTTCATGAGTTGAAACATACAGTCATTGATGAATGTATGGAGGGATGAGGGAAAACGGGTGCGAGGGTTTGGGAGAATCAAAGCAGATCTTGTTAGTGTTCATGAAGATGGGAAGCTATAACAGAATCAGTGAAAGGTCTTCAGATTCTAATTGATGATACTAACATGATTTACTTGATTTGAAGCAAAGGAAAAGCTTGAGGTCAAAAACTATCCTCTTGGATGCAAGGCTATAGCAGAATTTGGTGGTTCGATGAAGGTAAGTGTATTAAACCAGTCGGGGCCGGAGGGGTAATCCGGTGTCGTATCTTTTGCGAATAAGCTAGTACATGTCCCCATATGTAAGCCCATGACTCAGTCATGGCTTTAGGCGGAGAGTCTCTCTTCCTGCTTGATCCATCATCCAGAGATGTTTCCAGTGCAATTTGTCAAGTAAACATGTTCTCAAGTCTATCTTCAACAAAGTCACAGCCATCATCAACCGATCCGCCACCACCACCAGACCGTTCACAGAGATCTGTATGTTGGAGCGCGAGGGATGCCTATTTCACTTGTTTGCGAGGTCATCACCAGAAAGAGGTGGAATTTAAAAAAACAACCAAGTATTATTTTGTCCCTGGGGAAGAACCAAAATCGATATGCGAACGGGAAAGGAGTGAATATCATAATGATTGCGTGCATAGCTGGGTATGTGATTCACCTGAACTGACTGCCTCTCGTTTCTTAAGAAGCCCAAACTACTCATAGCTTATCTGGATTGACGTCTTGCAATCTATGTCTCGCACCACCTTTGATTAATTGATACCGCAGGTCGAACACTTCAATCAAAGAGTCGTGAATGAGCAACGTTCTACCGCCACTCGCCTTGCCCTTCAAAACCCTAACTCGTCAGGACCCCGTTGAATCATACTTCACGAGTTTGATCAAATACTACTTACTTAAATGCATTCACCTCGAGTCCTCTGGCGATTGGCGTCCAGCTATATGTTCATCAAGACATCGCGACCAATCCTTGAAAGCTGATCGAAATACCGGTTTTAACAGAGTCCATCTCAGCTCAGGAATTGCTTACTTTAATCACACGCCTAACAAGAAGGCCGCTTAAAAATGTAGCAGGGCTACGATAAGACCGGCGTCAGAATCCCAATGCAAACAATGCAACAATTGGTCAAAGCCATACTTCCTTACAAAAATGGAAATTGTAGGAATCCTCTCAATGACAAAGGCTCGCGCTTGAGAGGTCTTTTTTTCAATTTTCTTAAGCTAAGTTGAGCTTCACACAGTATGCTCCCCAGATTTTCACAAACACTTTTGAGCAAATACCACGGCCAAAATCTGAGCAATCGATCCCTTGTATATATCTTTTATGGATGGACAAAAACTCCAGTTCCTACGTACTTGTCATCAAAGTGCTTGGTTTAGTTTTAACATTTGATCATTGTCCCCATCTAGTGGTACTTGCTGCTGTCTATCAGTACGTGAAGCGCGTTTTGAGGACCTACAAGAGAGATGTTGAGCACAACATAATTCCAGATGAAAGATACTCGATTAGGGTGTTCAAACCTCAAAATCAATTCATGCAAGTTTTGTGCAAGTTCTGTGCAAGATATGAATAGAACTTGCACGGATCTTGCACAAAACTTGCAAGAGTCGGTCTCGCACGGTTTTTGCACGGTTTGGAACACAATAACTCGGGTTGTCAAAAAAATTACTGTGCAAGATTAGTGCAAAAAATCTTGCACGGATCTTGCACGGATCTTGCACGTCGGTCTTGCACATTTCTTGCACAGGTTTGAACACCCTAGATGTATTGAGTTTGAGATCGGGTAAGATCGGGTATAAGGAAATCCGTTGGACCGGATGCCTAGAACCCGGCTGAATCAAGACCGAGGGTTATGTTGAGATTCAATGAACGGTCAGCTCTTGACCATTGTTATCCACCAGCAATTACATAATCATCCTTTCATCCAATCTAATCAAATAATCGTATACTCTCGAGTCTCAACATCACCCTCAAGTCGACATCCTAACAGTCATGACCAGCCGAGCGGAATTGATCGCTTGGGTTAATGACCTCCTTCAAATTTCCTACACCAAAGTAAATTGCACAACCCTTGCTCTCTTTAAACGAAGCCTTCCGATCACTGAGCCTTGATCCATCCTCTTTCTTAAACTCTCCCACTCCAAGATCGAGCAATGCGGAAGCGGTTGGTTCATCTCGCCTTTCTTTTGTCTCTTGCCTTATGTGAACTCACCAATCTTTTCCGATCTTGACAAACCAGGTGCAGCCTACGCTCAAATCATTGACTCGATCTACCGTTAGTTATATCCCTGATCTATGCCTCTCGGGGACTCGAATGAGCTTTCAGATATCTGGATCTAATTATGTGTTTCTTATGGTGGTGATTTGACCTTCTTGAAAATAGACGATGTCCCTTTGAGCCGAGTCAAAATGAATGCAAATCAGGAGTATGAATATGTGAACAATTTCAAAGTGCTTCAAAGCGTTTTCAAGAAACATCAAATTGACAAGGTGGGCGTGCGTCTCAAGTTACCTTGATCGAAGATTGTCTGATATCATTGTTTCTGGATTTATTTCGTAGCCTATCCCAGTCACTGCTCTGATCAAATGCAAGATGCAGTAAATAACTCTTGACTAATACTGCCTTGTGACCTACCCGAGGTGCTGAGATCACCATGATTTATGATCATCCGCTGTACAGAGACAATCTCGAATTCATGCAATGGCTCAAGAAATATTGGGATATGCATTTCCCCGGGGGAGAGTACGATGCCGTTGCTAGGCGGAGGGGGGCACCGTAAGTTATTTCAATCGCGTAAATTGCTCCAGCTACTATACTCGTGATCTGATCTATACCCACATTATTTCTCTGGACCTAGTGCCGATCCAAATCCATTGATTGCTGCTCCGCCTGCAGCATTGAGAAGTTCCACAAACGGTGGGGCTGCAAGAACCGCCGCGGCCACAAGACGAGCCCCAGTTGCTAGTGGTGGTACGACCTGCTTTGACACATCCTTCGCGACACTTACTTTTCCATGGATTTATATTGTTTTTGCACGTATCACCTTTCACTTTTAGGGGTACGTGCTGGAAGTCGCGCAGGAGGCGCAGCGTCCGCAAGCAGAGAGGTTGAACAATTGACTGCTCAACTCGACGAGTTCAAACTGAGTCTCGAAGGTCTAGAAAAGGAGCGTGATTTCTACTTTAACAAGGTACGTGGTGACTCACTTGTCGCACACATTGAAACAACTTGTCTTCCGTTGGTGAGGATCATATCCCTGACGCTTGTGGACACATCTTTGATAGTTACGCGATATTGAAATCTTGATCGGAGCGAGAGCTGAGTTGAAAGACGGTACCGTGTCTGAGATCGAGATGGACAATCTCAAACAGATGCAAGCAATCTTGTATTCGACCGAAGTGAGTCTGGCAGAAACCTTTCAACATGCCTCACTGCATCAATTGCGGCTGTGTCATGGCTTTTCTCGACGAGTTACTGATATTTTTTCCACGCTTTTAGGAAGGATTTGAAGTCCCTGATGCTGAGAAGGGGCTAGTGGATGAAGAAGAAACTTTTTGAAAAAATCCTTGTTTTATATTCAGGCCCTATTCCGGTTTCAAGCTCAGCAGTCATCCGTGTAATAATGTTCTATCCTATTCACAACAACTCTCACTCATCATCTACCATTTAACAAACCTAGGTGATATATGAAGCTCTACAACTTGAAAATTGTCCGGTTGAAGCTCATTACATTCAGCTTCGTCTTGCAAAAGCGAGCTCGTCTTTGTGTTATATGCATATATTTTTCAAAGCTGATGAGCATCACTTTGAAATTTCTTGAAACCCACAAGACTTCAAATCCGTGGATTTTGTTACAATTCCTTGTTGCCAGTGGTTACAACCATGTTAAAGACTTAGGAGCCGTGGTTATCCAGTTGTCAACAGTATGAAGGCTCGTCTAGCGCAATGATCGTCATAATTGATGCTTGACAGACTTGCAAAGATTTTTGGCATGCGAATCAGCGCTATATGATGATCGCCCACACCTCATTGATAAGACTGATCATGTCAACTGGAAAGACCAGATCTAGTGACTATCTCTCTACATAGAAGCAATGAAAGCTTGGATTTTTTGCAAATCTTCACCTCAACAAAATCTTACATGTCAAGAGGCTCCACTGGCATGCAGAGGCAATTGTTCATGTCAGACTTATCAATCTGATCAAAGACTAACTTTCAATTTGCTTTGGTGGGCGGTTGAAGAAATATCTTACGTATAGGGAGATACAATTGGGTAGCCAGGTCTCCTCAAAGTCACAGAATACTTGGTAAATCATATCAATGAAAGTTTGGTCCTCCATCAGTGAAATTTTCATCTCAAGCTCAAAGTTCAAAGAATCAAAACTGGACAATTCACCTAGAAGTATGGCTAGGGCCATGTGTGCACCACAAAAAGAGCCGTCTCCACTTTGAAAAACCTTCATGATCAATGAAAACTCCTCCCTTTTGGTCTCTTTTGCGACGCCCTACCGTTCTTTGTATTAGACTACGCTGAAAGAGTGCTTGTGACTTAACTGGATGGCTGACAATCACCAGACTTCAGAGGCTAGATGGATTGTTCAACCAGTCGTTGGATTTACACGTGAGCGTTACTGGCTGCATGAGAGGATTACAGGGATAGGTGCCTCGATTGTTTCCTATACTCCTCACAGATTGTATAAAGTCGGCATTGACCAAGGAGTTTGGAACTTGATAATAGTAACCCGATGAAAACAAATACAACTGCAATTTATGGCCCCAATGTACGAGTTACAAAAAGCAGCAAAAGAAAGGTCGAAGTGAAAGAACTCATATTACACGTTAATTGTTTCAGGATCTATGAAGTACAAAATGATACAAAACTTGCTTGCTAAATCAATCGGAATGGAAACACAAAATTCTGAAGGATAAGAGACCTAGAGAAATTTCCGGTGAAAGTTTGAGCCGTCATGAATCCAATGAGGTTGCATGCTTAATGGTCACCGAATTGCGATTCGGTGACACCCTGCGATTAAGAACGAGAGAAAGTCAGTGAGGATTATGGCATAGAATAATGAAGCACAGTGTAAGCTTACTTTTCCCATGGCAGCGGTCGAACTGACCCCGCCAGTGCAAGTCTTCAACAAGTTGTCGGCAAAGTCGGCGCCTGACCACTGTAAGGGTATTGAAAATCACAAGTCAGCGGTCTAGTGCTACGGGTGACAAAACCCTCACAAGAAATAACAAACCTTTTGATGCGTGAGCACGTCGCATCCGATATCACGTTCCTTACGTTGTATTTCCTCCACATAAGCTTTCATGCCTTCCTTGGCAAAGGATTTGGCAAACAGATCGGAAATGTAAGCGTTGGAGTGAAGTCCACCGAGCGTGATGAATTGCCAACACTTTCATCGAGTATGTTAGCCATAGCCACAAAACATATGATGATGCGGATACTTTGGACTCACGAAGCCCAATTTTCCAAGCTCCCAGACGTAATCTTTCATTTGTTGGGTAGACAGACCCGCAGCATCCCAGTTGAAGGAAGGGCTAAGGTTGTAGGCTAGCCATTGGTCAGGCCAAACGGATCGAACACCTTTAGCAAATTCTTTGGCTTGTTCCAGGATGGGGCTCTTAGTTTCCATCCAGAGTAAATCGGAATAAGGTGCGTAAGCAACGGCTCGATTGATCGCGCATCCGGTACCACCTTGATATCGATAAAATCCTTCTCGAGTACGCGGCATGTCCCAATCCCAAAAGATCTCAACTCCGTATTCTTTCTTTGCTAATGATTTGGCCGCTTCGTGACTAAGCCCCATGGACCGTTTGACCCAATCAGCGATTTGACTAGGAGAGCTACCTTTCTTCTTCATAGCGCTAGATATCGCATCAGAGTACAAGACCAGATTGGCCTTCAATGTCCAATCATCTTCAATGTTTTGCAAAGCGTCACCCGATTTTCCTTGGCGTTGGGCAGTATTCATGATATCGACGAGATGGCCAATGTTGGGGTTGGTGGTACCCAAAATGTAAGCGTGATCCCGTTCATCGACATTGGTGCTAAGCAAAGTGGCGGCCTCGGCATCGGTACGACAAACAACGATGTTTTCGACGCCCATGATATCAAACTGGAGTCTGATGGCAACCAATCGATTGATGTGCTCTGAAATCGGGACTAATACTTTGCCAGCCATATGCCCACATTTTTTCGTCCCTGGTGCTTGATCTTCAATGTGGATGCCAGAAGCGCCCTTTTCGACAAACATCTTTGCTAATTTCATCACCGCAGTCAGACCACCATGACCGGTATCGGCGTCCTACATACGAAAGGAGGGTTTCAAGCTGCTATCCAAGAGATCCGCCGCAAGGAGAAATGGAAAACTTCACATACAGCAATGATGGGACGGAGATAGTCGGTTGGAGGTGTTTTGTTTCTTTGCTCTGGCGTCATTCTTAGACGAGCTTCTCTTTGACGACGGTCATGAAAGAGCTGAGCCATGAAGAGGTGTTCGACCTTATTTGGCACCGTATTGGAAGGATAGTCTTCAAAGATAAAATCGGACTTTAGTGTTTAATCCAAGACCTCACCATGTTTCAAAACCGAAGACTTACCAGCGAGATCAGGACCAGGCTCGTTGGTAGAGCTAGCCGTTGATGATGACTGCCACCCAGAGACATAAACTGTCTCCAAATACTTGGCCATTTGAGTCACTTGGACGGGATCCAATCTATATAAAAGTAGGTTTACAAGACTCGTCAGCTCTCAAGAAAAGCTGTTTCATGAGATGCATAGAGGGGAGACAAGGAATTGCTTACGCTCCATAAGTGTGACTCGGAGTACCGTTTTTGAAATGGTTACTCAATATATTCCATAGCTTCTTTCCAATTTGATTGGACGTATAGTTCATGGGAAGTGTACCCCGCTTACTGACTACTTGCTCAGCAGTGTAAGGACGTACCAATCCCTTGTAACGTGGCGACTGATAATCAGAAGAGACAGAGAAATAAAGATATCATCAAGAACATGTAAAGAGGATGAAAAGAATGAGAAAGAAGACTTGACATGCCTGCCAAACTTGTTTCAAAGCTGCTACTTCAGCTTCAAAGATTTGTTGTTCTTTGTCTACGGCCATTTTGATGAGAATATTCTATATCAAAGGTTGTATGGATTATGAATTGGTGACAAGTAAGAATCCCAAGTCAATGATTGATTAATGAATTCCTTGTAAACTGAAAATGGTCAAGAAGCGATATCTGATTACCAACTGACGTCATTGACTCGCCGGCTTTCAGAACACCCATCAGCCGGACAAGCTCACATTGCCAATCCCACCAGGGACCTGGTCTTGTGACATCTCTGAGAATTGTGACATACCGACCCCCCTCAATACAGGCATAAAGCCATCCCAATATGTTTATACTAGATGAATCCGATTTTAAAAATTTATCAAGACTTTGTCCATTTTGTTTCACATGCTCAACATCGATTTGTATCAACTCCGCTCGGAATCAGGAATCATCAATCAACGAGAGTTCATCAAGATATCAAACTTATCATTTCATCTCATCAAATCAATACTACTGCTCAAAACCTAAACAGCGGTTTACTTTCACAATATGTTCGTAGAAAACCTTATCTCAATTTCAATCCGTTGCTGATTGAAATGCTCTCTGTTCCATCTTACAAAGGCCTGCATCAAAGAAAACGGTGAGTCAGATTCATTCATCTTCATCGACTTTTCCTCTAACTTTTGGTTTCTTCGTATCTAGCTCCGAACTCAGGAAGCCAAGAAGAAGGAAGCTGTGAGTGAAATATCCTCATTTTCAAATTGTTCGATTCGCCCATGTTCATTCTAATCTTGGCTTTGTTCCTTGACTATCCAATCAGGCGGGTGTTCGAGTAGCGACAAATGCTGGTGGTGAGTAACGTTTGGTATCCATCAATTCCACTTTAGATTTAAAAACAATTACTATTGAATCTGAATGGCTAACCTATGAATGGCACCAACAATAGGTGTACCCAAGAAACCTGAAAAAGTCAAGATTCAATGTCAAATCTGTAAAGGAGAATTTATCGCTTCTATGCCTACCGTTCTTCGAGATCATGCAGCGAACAAACATGTGAAGAACACCTTTGAACAATGCTTTCAGATTACAGTCTAAATCCATCATCAACGTCGTTTATATCTGATTTTTTTTCAAAGTGTATTATCAACCATTTCTGTTTTGGGATCGCTTTTTTTCCTATCCGATGACCGACAAGGGCCTTTCTTCTATCACATTGGATTATTTAGGATACCCATCTGAGTTGGTGTAGTAAATGGTTATTGATGATAACTGCTAGTAACAGCTTACATTACCGTGCTTATTTGTTCCGGTGAAATAGTTTGCTGTCTCCATTATACATACAACTTATAATAAAGGCTTTCAGAAAGGGTTGGCTTGTATATACGCTTTTCTACTATGTCTATCGGGTTCAGTCTGGCCGATACATGTACCCAATCATGAGTCGCTTGATCTAGGATCGTGGGTTGTAAAATCTTTGGAAGAGTGACTAAAAGAAAACAACTTCAATAGGAATCAATAAAGCTTCTGCTCGGCTCAGAATTTAATCTTGCTGGATTCAATCGTTGTTTGCTGCTCCTGACTCTGAATATAACCACTATTTCTTGCCTGCCTGTGGATATTGCACAGTTAAGATGCCACTCCGCTACAGAAAGTGAAGAGGCCTTCTTCAGTGACATCATCTGAACTTGTGTCATTTGTGAGTTACCGATTCATTGCAGGAGTTATGATTGGTTATGTTATTCGATTTGAAGGGTTTTTTTTGGTGAAGTGATGGTTTGTATCGCCCAGAGGAAGTGTGATGAGGATGAGCAGTTATGGTGTGACATGACATAAACTTATAAGTTACAGTGCTTAATATCAAATCTTGGAACTTCATGATTCAGTCTTTCTGAATGTTTCGTCATCGATGGAATTCAACTCATCCAACTTATCAACTTATCAACTTGACTTTTAATGTAATGAAGTAATGTTTTACTTATTACTGTTTACCTACTTCCTTGGTGCTTTCACCTTTCTACCTGCTCTTCTCATCATCGTCTGCTCATTCATCTACTTCACCTCACCTTATGCGAATCTCGAAGGCCCGACTAAAGCCATCTCAATCAGTCGTGAGGAAACTCAAGAATCTGAAAAGCTAAACACCAAGGAATCAGTCGAACAAGGTCTTCCTAAACTCTATAGGGCAGGATGGCTTACCGTCCGACAAACGTACGATCCTGTGCAAGCCGGTGATGGTACTTATATGGGTATGTTAACAAACAGCTATCGTAGCTTTATGGATCAGCGTTCGAAGGATCCTAAACGGTCTCGTCCTAAGGATCAGTTCTATACTGTCTTGAAGCAAAACGTACTTTTCCTTTACGAAGATGAGGATCAACTTGATTGTGCGGCTGCGATCGAAGTGACACTCTACAACACTTTACTTTACCCTGACGCTGGTCCGGATGGCGAACTCTATGTGAAACGAAGGGCAATATGTCTTAGACCTCAATCTCAATCTCTTTCAAATGAATCTACGACCAAAGACACCAAATGTCCCGAGAGCCCTACCGAGACTGAAGTCCTTCACGAGCGTCAGATTGCTGGACGTCCTTTACCTTGGTTCATCTTCACAAAGGATAATTATGAAAAAGAAGATTGGTATCATATGCTTGTTGCCTCCTCAAAACTCTCAAAACCCAATGCAAAATCAACATTTGCCAAAGATACATCTTTATTTGATCCTGAAGACATGGCCAAATTAGTCGACAGTATCGATCAACAGCCAGACCCAATTCCCATGCGATGGCTCAATGCTATGATCGGTCGAATCTTTCTCTCGGCCTATCGAACATCGGCACTCGAGACTTGGATTATTGATCGAATCATGAACAAACTCACACGGGTCAAAACTCCTAGTTTCTTGTCCGCAATCAAAGTACGAGAAGTCAACGTTGGTTCATCAACTCCTTTCTTCAGCAAACCTATGCTGAAAGAGCTGACGGGTGATGGAGACGCTAGTATGGAGGTACACGTGAATTACCAGGGCGAGTTCAGGATCACCGTCGAGACTGTAGCCACCATCAATCTGAGCGCCCGCTTCAAGCCGTATGTGGTCAATCTAGTCCTTGCTGTTGTTCTTAAGGAGCTTGAAGGTAACTTACTACTCAAGATCAAGAAGCCGCCAACCAACAGACTCTGGTTTGGATTCACAACTATGCCCCGCTTAGTCCTTCAACTTGATCCTGTTGTGTCAACTCGCCAAATCAAATGGGCCTTGATCTTGAAACCCATTGAATCAAGAATCCGTGAAGTGGTGAGCTCGTATAAAAGATGATAGAACTGATGACCTGGATGCTATGCTGATATTGGTTCCACGGGTGTTTGATCTCGAGGGTAGGTCTTGGAATCTATTGTTCTACCTCATCTAGACGACTTGGCTTTCTTTGATACCCGACCTTATGACCACCGTGGAGGTATTTGGGGGGATACTGCTCGCAAGAACGAAACAACTTCTCCTGCCGACTCTCCCTTTGGTGAAAAAGCCAACGAGGATAGTACAGAGAAGATTTCCTCGCCCATGTCATCCCACGAGGGCAATTCAACTGTCGATCCCGAACATAATCATTCCGTAAATGCATCCAGTACGAGTCGCGAGCCGGCATCAAATCTCGAAAGTTTAAGGCAGCGGACAGCTCACAAAGATCCTCAAGATGTGGAAGAACCAAGTGCCAACAAAGCGCCAACCTCAGTCACCGAGTCTAACCCCTTGCCTGTTCTATCCACCAACCAAGAAGGCAAGCGGAACAGCTGGTTTTTGAACAGCCGTAGACAAGAAAGCACCTTTCCTCCCTCTCAAAATTCCCCAAGAGCAAATGCCAAACCTGATTCAGCCAACGTGTCCGCGGAGTTTGACGGCGAGGCCCTGGCAAAGTTGAAAGAAGTTCTCAGGTCACGTTCAGAGTCGAGTCGAGTAGTCACCCCTTCCCTCAACTTCTCCAGTTTCTCCAACGATTTGAGTCTACCAACTATTGCCTCGCCTGATGCTGAATCCCTGGATCCTCTGGCCAGTGGTTCCGACGAGACGTCGCCCAAGCTCACACTACAACCTGCTTTTAACCATCTTTCTTCCTCACCTACATCTAACCTGATAAAACCAGACACTCCACACGAGATCACCGAAAATATCGATGTTGCCAATGAAACATCCAAGACTCCGCGCCGGATGCCACCACCGCCTTCTCACCGCCCTCTAGCATCACCAACAAACCTACCCCCTCCGCAGCGTCAACTCGGTACTGGCCTTGCAAAACAACCATCTGAAATCTCTTTAGGCTCCACGTTGCCTGGTTCAAATCCTACATCTATTCTTAATCAACTCCGAACTCGTGCGGCTGATAAAGAAGCGATTGCAGCTAGCATGTCACAGGCCAAAAATGTGGTACGAAAATGGGGGGCATCATGGACCGCAAAGCGTAAACAATCGCAGTCGACGCCCTACACGAACGGGTTCAACCCAATTCCAATCGATACACTCCCGGAGGCAATCGCATCTAGGAGTTCTATTCACGGCTCATCGGCAGAAGCAGCTGATGAGGAACTTCACCGTTCAAATTCCACGAAGGTGAACGACACTCTATTAGTCGACACCCTTGCCGATGGCGGCGAAGATGGCGAGGTTCGCTCGCACCAAGGACAAGGAGCAAGAAACGAGATGATGTCCCTCAATGAACATCGCCCTTCATCAATCATCGCCACCGGTTCATCAAGCACCAGCCCCGAGCTCAAGGCCCCCGAGCTACGCCACAAGACTAGTACCTCACGATTAAGTCTTGCCCCCAGTGAAGAGAACTCGGCTAAACGCAATCGTACAATTTATACAGCCAACGGGCAGTTCATTCCAGCTGCTCCACAGTCTACCACGGGGCTCAGTATCTCATCAGCTCAGCTGGTCATCAAGTCTGGTTCGTCATTGGGCTCTCTGTAGTTCAAATTTCATTCTTCCACATAAGCTCAACCGTCTCTCCTTTCGCACAGATAACATCGAACCGCTCACTGCTGGGCCAGCCTCCGGATCCGTCATGTCACAGCCATCGACTAGTCCAGCGATCTCTACCGAGCGGTCGAGCTACAGACCTGCACCGATGATGGCAATCCCGGGCATCAAAGACTCGAGTCATCGCTTTGCTCTTGGCTCGGACTCGGTTGCCCAGCAACTGCCTCAGCCAGAACCCAAACACTTTGATCCGTCAACCCAATCAGGTCTTTCGAATGACCGATCTGACACGTTGGGCCTGGAAGGGATGAGCCAGCCAGTCAGTGAGGTAGCACCAGAAAATTCAACTGGCTCGCCTAAATTGGTGGGATCTTCTGACCACAAGTCCGACGTCAGCCCCGAGACTTCAGACGCGCAGATCGACCAACAAAAGGTCATGTTGACTGAAAGCTCAAATTCTATCCCTGATCAAGTTGATCGAGACTTGATAGATCTCGGTGGGAGAAGTGTAGAGGAAGCATGGGGCTTGTGACCGGGTAGAACATTGGCGTGGCGGTGAGAAAAGCAGATGTTCGTCATTCATTACCTTGACTGTAAAACCAGAGCCGAATGGGTTTGATAAAGGCATTGTGAGTTTCATTCCATCTTAATCCGAAAGCAAGACTTAGCCGAAGCACAAATCATTGAGTTTTCCCAAAAAAATGTAGTGTACATACCTGTTTTGATCATAGTGTAGAACAAGATATCAATCCCACGCCCTTTATTTAATTACATGTGCACTATTTGCAAGTTTGATCTTTTTGCATGGCCATATGGCTTTGATTGATGATGTCCATATTTCCAAGCACTTCTGTGACCTGTACTAGAGTCATATGTTGTGTACCATTCTTTCGAATATCTAGAAACAGGTATAGGTATAATTTACCAGAAGTGTGAGACCTGAAAAGCTTGACAATCTGCATGTACTTGAATCCTTCTGAGGCATCGCCTGGTTGGGTTTCACCTATAAGATCAAAGAGAAGCTCTCTAATGAGCAATGAATTTATGGTCAAAGAAGATGATATTTCAATTGGAAATCTGCAACTTACCATATTTCAAGACTTAATGAAGGGTGACACACCAAACACATCCATGTTGTGTGGTTAGAAAACTTGCTTAATGAGCTGATACACTTCTTGACTCTGACTAGAAGTTGATCTCTCAAGAAACTCTACAAAATTATATTCATGATGGATGGTTGAAATCAAAAGAAGCAAGACTATATGCCTTAAAAGTCTTCATCTCACACCAAAGATAGATACCATACTCGAAAAATGGAGCTATGTCCTAACACCACAAAAATACTCATTCTGTTTTCATCAATCACTGACTAGAACTTGAAGATGTATCCATCAATGAGCCTTTCACCTCGGCTTCTTGTTAATCAATAGCTATGTAGATCTCCATATACTCTTACTATTTTATGGGTCAATAGATTTTTACACACAACCATTTACACTCCTTATTGAGTGTAAATTCGGTTGTGTGTAAAGATGTATGTAATTACGGGTGAAATACAATTTTACACCCCTTCGGGCCCAAATTGTAGTACAGTCAGTCCAGATTCGCTTGACGAGTCGAATTTTTATTATTATTGTTACACAGCAATACAGCTATCTTATAAGCATATGTTTATAAGTTTACTGAATTTCAAGCTGGTGCTGTTGACCAAATCGGAACAGCCCTCAGCTAGATTACCATCACCACCTCATCAATACCTTCTACAACCTCACCGATACCTTCCATTTATTCCATCTCATCTCATATCATATAAGAATTATGTTTGTTCAATACAGTGCCCAACTTAAAGTAATTGCATTCAACAAATTCCTAGCTGGACAAACGATCAAAGCCATCAATGAAGATCTGCTTACATCAATCTCACCGAGCTCTTTCTTACGATGGAAGAATCTGTACAACCGTACTCATGCGGTAGTCAGAGATCCAAAAACCTACGAACGACAAGGCCGTCACACTCTCTACACTGACAATGATCGAGATTTTATGATTGAACTTATCGAGGCTGATCCGACTCTATTCCTGGATGAGGTTCAAGAAGCAATGTACGATCACACCGATCTACTTGCTTGTCGTCAAACTATTGCGAACGATCTGAAAGAACGCCTTTTTCTTACCGTTCACAAAGCATCAAAAGTCGATATCAATCAATCACCTGAACTCCGAGCAGCCTACTCCGGTGAGATCTGCCACATGCCACCCGAGTTCCTAGTCTTCCTAGGTGAGTGTCCATTGTCATCTTCTCTTTGTTTAAGAGGATGTCATACTGATTCTAATGTTTTCTAACCTCCATTTAGATGAATCGGGTCTTCGACCGCAGGATGTGGAACGTGATCGTGTCAGGTCAAAGAAAGGCGAAAGACCAAAGGCATTGAAGCGTACAAGGGCAGGGCGTCACTACAGCGTGCTAGCTGCGATATGTGAGATGGGTCTGTTGGCAGTGAACGCAAAAGTTGATGGTTACTGTCGAGATGAATTCCAGGCATTCTTGAAACATGTCCTGGTGTGTTCGTTTTATTTTCTTTAGATGTGACCAATCATAGTAAGCTGACAAACTTCCTGTCAAAGCTTCCTGTCATGCAGCCTTACCCAAACCGAAATTCTGTCTTGGTAATGGATAACGCCACCATCCATCGCCGTGGAGGGATTCAAGCGCTATGTGAGGCGGCAGGAGTACTTTTAGTGTATTTATCACCCTTTTCCCCCGACTTTAACCCAATCGAACAAACTTTCAAGGTCTTCAAGGACACCCTTCGTCGAAACGGGCTCTTTGCTGAAGCTATTGATAAATTGGAATGTATGATGAGGGTCATGAGTGATATATGCACCAGTTCGTTCATTACTAGCTTATACATAACTGGTGGATATAGGCCAAGAAATGTATGAAATAAATTAGTCTTACATCTGATAAGAAAAAGTCGTGTCATTGTAAAATACACTAACTAGTTTGAAGAAATCAAAGATATGCTAGCTGAAGAAAGTTGTCATGGCAAAATGCTTCTTCAGTTTAAACATTTTTTTACCGTGTGTCTCCTCAAGGCGCGAGTGAGAGTAAAAGACAAAATAAGAAAACGCTACTAGAGAGAAAAAGAAAAGGGTGCAAGGAAACAAGAAATTATTATTAAAGTAAATCTACCCTTTTACAAAGACCGTAAAAGGCGTGAGCAACGGCATAAGTACCTCATTATTGTGCTTGTTGTGCACTTTTGCTTGAGGAACTTGTTTTTGCACTAAAAAACAAATTTTCATTACTAAATAAGCTGAAGATACAACTAGAGATACAACTGAAGAGATGATATGAAGAGAAAACAGTTAATAGATATCGTAGTGTACTGTGGCTACTTGAATAATACAATGTTTACATAATGATCCAGTACATTTATTTTGAGCGGTGAGAGCCTATTAGAAGGTTGGGTTTTTGAGATGATCTCGATACAAAGGTGCGTTCTCATGGAGACGCAGAGCGGGACCAAAAGCAAACCCAAGCGATTCCAACTTCTCGATACTGAGGTGATGGGACAAAAACATCTCAAAGTTTACCAAATCGTTCAATATCAAAGCATCTCGAGTTCTTTGATCATTTGGGTCAATTGAGGCAAATTCAAGAAACCTTTCAAATAGTGGAAGAGGTCTAGGAGCAGGTGAATCTGATCGGGTATTGGTTATGGGGACGCTGGTATTGCTGGTATTGTTGGTATAGGGAGGGGGTTGGGAAGTGGATCGAGCTGGTGGTGCAGGCCAGAACGGTTGGGATCTTCCTTGCGAATTGCTGATGGGCAACCAGACGAATTCAGGTCCATGAGGAGGTTTCATTATACTGACACCTGGAACCTTTGCAACCTATTTGAAATTGATTCAAGTCAATTCAATATTGCTGATGACTTTGGAGAAAGACAGAAGTGAAATCTTACTATCGCTTTTGCCCAGATGTCCATTGAAGCGTGGCTGAGGTGCATCGCCTGGGTAGGATTGCCGGGGTTGACACATCCCATGCATTCCTTTCCACCAATTGAAGCATGACCATACTTGACCATCAGCTGGGTTCGTATAGCCTGGAAAGTTGAGGCAACTCCGATGGTCTTTTCCAGCAGATCAATCAGTATACATGTCAAAGCATAATTAGATAGAACTTTACTTACATCCATCTCAAGCTCATCATGTCGAGCCGAATCCAATGCATCAGGATCAACATGGACCAAAGCTTGATCGAATTGGGTTTCCTGTTTGGTAGGTAAATCAAGAAACATGTTAGAGTCAATCAAAGAAAGGCAAAAAGAAAGGTGTGACTTACTTTGGAGGTGGTACGAGCTACCTTTTTTGGGTTCTCCATCAAAATACGGAAACCAATCTCTTTTCCAGTCTTGTCGATCACCATTCTCTTGAAATCGTTGAAATTTGTTTCGTTTGCAATTACCGGCATAAGTGACTTGCCAAAAACACCACCATTACTTACATATCCTTTTAAAATCACCTGACCATGTTGGTCAGCTAGCTTGAGTAGACGTCCACATGCCTTCTTGTGTTGGTCGCAAAGTTGAAAGAGCGCATCCTTCAAGCTCTGGAGTGGGACCCCATGAACTTGAACCAGGATATCGAATGGCTCCTTGGTGGTGTTGTAATCGATGTAAGTTTGAGGCGTTCCAGATCGTTTGTCGGCAGGAGTGAGCGGATTTGGGATGTAAACGTGAAATCCAAGTTTTGCTCGCATTGGTTTATTTCTCTCCATTTCCGCAAGCGTTGGCTCAGGTTGTTGAGCTGGCGGTGGAGGGGGACTGGGGGAACAGGTGAGATCGACATGGCAATGTCGAACTACAGTCAAAGAGATCTCAGCTTAGTTCTTTGGCATGATTTTTGATTAGTAAGAGAAACAACTTACCTGGCAAACTTTCAGCTTGAGTTTGCTGTCCAGAAGCTTGGCCAAGCATTGGGTCTCGGTGACTAGGCTCTGGCCCTGGAGTTGGTTGAGCTAAGAGTGAATCATTCAAGAATCAGCTTTGTCTGGAACGATTCAGGCAAAGACAGGGGAGGGAAATTGATGACATGACTTACAAGCAGGATGAAGGCGACATAGAAACGCCTGCGAACCTTGCGGACGTGAGTAATCCATGTGTATAAGCTCAATATCGCGATACTCGCGTTGTCCAAACTGGACATTTTCCCAGTGGTGACCGGGTCTAGAAAACCGGTTTCAAGGTCATCAGTGATCAAAAGCTCAAATGAAATGGATTCAAAAGAATCGCTTACTTTTCGGGATAGAAAGGGGTGCCACCCCAGCCACGCGCAGGGCTGAGACCACCTCGATCAGCCTGCCTTGCACGTCTCATGGCACTAAAGAGGACATCGGTTGTTAGTTCAGTGAAATTGAGGAAACGAAAGGTTTTCCAGGGACTTACGCTTCTTCTCTTCGATTGGCGTCTTCTTTGTCGCGTTCTTTTCTGGTTTGTCTAGCAGGCATTCAGGAATAAATTGGGAATTGGGAATTGGGAATTGAAACAGTGGTAGGAAGTTGATCAAAGATGAAAGGGAGGTGGTGATGGTAATCTAGCTGAGGGCTGTTCCGATTTGGTCAACAGCACCAGCTTGAAATTCAGTAAACTTATAAACATATGCTTATAAGATAGCTGTATTGCTGTGTAACAATAATAATAAAAATTCGACTCGTCAAGCAAATCTGGACTGACTGTATGTAAATTAGTCACGTGCAAAACCCGGAGTGCAAAAATTTACAGTACCGACCCCAAAGTCGAATTTTACACGTGAGTAT